ACCCCATCGGCCTGTAGTGTCATACCCCAAGGGAACGGCGGCGAGCATGCGGAAGCTGGTCTACTCTGCAGTACCGTCCTTGGGCAAGGAGGAGATATTTGAGCCCCAGCCAGCGCCACCATGTTGGCGCGTTGCTAAGACAGTGGCGGATGCTGCAAGTCGTGCCTGCTGTGATGAGAACGGTGGGGCAATGGCAGGATGGTACCTTCTATCGAGAGCGTGGGCCCGATTTGCATCTCTTGCCGCAAAACAGATTGGCGGTGCTGCCGGCAGCTCAACGGTTAACTACGGTGCTTTTGACAAGCCATTGCAGGCGAGATGGGTTACGATTGAGTACACGATGAAGGACCCTGTTGACGCCAAAGTTGTAGCAGATGGTTGGCGCTGGCTCACACACGCTATTAAGCACATTGCCCAGATGCAACGTGCAGTGGCCAATGATAGCAGCATGATATTGCGAGTTGCCGAAGAGGTGGCGACGGTGTCCACGTCTGAGTACTCGGGTCAGGGATTAGATGCCAGACTTGATCAGGTTGTCAATGACGCGAGAAGCTTTTTGGATGTGGCTATCGATCCTGATGCGCGCGACAGTTTTGTACATCACATTGCTGAAGATCTTGAGCTAGCGGAACGAGGTGAATCGCGACATGCTGCTCAAGAGTGGAAGGAATGGTGTGCCACTGCGACGGCAGGGGGGGGGGGGCTCGCATACTGCACAAAACGACGAAGTACAAGTCGGAGTACGTGGCGACAGTGGTACCCACCGAGAGAGGATTGTCAGCACACCCGCATGACGTGCTGGCCCAGGAGGTTGAGGTCTATCGACGTTTATGGTAGAGCGCGAAGGGGCCTGCTGAGGCTTGGATTCCCGACAGACGACATTTGCCACCCATGACGGTGGACCAGCTGCGCGCGGTTGCGCTTTCTTTTCCAGAGACGACGTCGGCCTCAGTTGACGGCCTCCATCCTCGCCACTTTGCAATGTTGGATGATGAAGCCTTGGAAATAATAGCCAGCCTGTTCACATGGTCTGAGGCGCTTGGTCTTCCCCCGCGGCAGCTCACGTGGGTGGTGACCCCTATGATCCCGAAAGGGAAGTCTGAAGGACATCGTTTGATAATACTATATGCAGGCTTCTACCGTGCGTGGCAGAGGGCTCGGCGTGGTGTACTGGACGAGCTGCAGGTGGCGCTGGACAGACCCTACTGGGGAGCAGCATGGATCCAGGCTGCGGAGGCTGAAGCAGACTCTGCCACCTCGCGACATGGCGTCGCCATCAGTGCCGACTACAGCAAGTACTATGAGAAGATCCCACTGTCACGGCTCAGAGACAAGTACATTGCTAAGGGCGCGCCAGCAGGTTACGTCAAGCTGGCCTACAACATGTGGCGTGCCCCGCGGACCCTCAGATTGCAAGGACATCACAGTGAGCCGATTCTTTTTTCCAGATATCGGACTCCCTGCAGGTGACGCGTGCTGTGACATCTAGATCAAAGTTTGGGCTGTTGATGAGTTTGGTTGGCTTGTTGAGCGGCATGCCTGGATGACTTTTCGGAGTTACATGGGTGATAACAGTATGAGGCTGTCCAGCAGCAGTCCAGAAGTGTTGATGCAATTGGCGGCTCGTGCATACCGTGACTTTGTTGAGGCCTCTGATATGCTAGAAGCCACGATCAATGATAAGCTGGTAGTGGTTGGCAGCTCTCTTTCTTTGGCCAGAAAAGTTGCGACAGCTGCTGGGCTACCAAGTGAGGTGGCCAAGCACAATGCGGTGTCTGGCACTGACATCAGTGAGGGCAGGCGTCGCAGAGCTGTGGGCGCCAGTCAGCAGAGGCAAAAGCGTGGGTTGAACATGATACGACGTCTGCGTAAGTTTCGACGGCTCCGCAAAGCTATTGCTGGTGTGGACAAGGCCCAGGCGTGCGGGAAGATTGTCAAAGTTGGAATCACCCCTGAAGCATGTTATGGCGCAGAGATTGCCGGCATGGATGATGCAGAATGGCGGAAGCTGCGGGCGGCCCATGCGCGCAGCAAGCTACGTGCACATGGAGGGGTCAGCGCGACGGCCAAGGCGGTGCTCAACGGCGACTCGTCGGCGAAGCTTGCGGTCGCACCTGCAGTGCAATGGTGCCGCATGCTGTGGGTCGCCAGCACCAGTCCCCACGCCATGATTAGTGCACAGCGGCTCCTGCAGCTGTGGGAGGAAGTTCGACCAGAGAGTCATCCTGAGCTGAGTTGGGCTAACAGCAGAGGGCCCATACGTCGAGCCGCGCTGGCGGCGCAGCGATCAGGCTGGGCAGTGACGTCGGCGACGAGGTGGACTGATCACCGAGGTTGCGCGGTGGCCATTGATCAGATATCACCAGGCTTGCTTAGTCAGTTGCTGACTGCGGGCATACAGCGCAAGCATGAGATAGCACTAGCAGCGAAAACGAGTGAGCCTCGAGTGAGCCCCGATGAGCCTATTACGATGCGAGCTTCCTTTGATTTCATAAAGCGGGTGATTAGCCCAGCGAGCAAGCGATACAGTAAGCATCCGAAATTTCTGATCAGTTGCTGCGCCTGTGATGGTGTTTGGACGCGAAGTCGCGCGAAGATAGCTGGCCACGTGACGGATGGTCTTTGCGAGTGCGGGCGCGAAGATACCATCAACCACCGTCTGTATGAGTGTCAGCTAGCAGCAGTAGCAGCAGCACGAGAGAAGCGGATATACCTGCAAGTTTCGTGCAGGCAGCCATCGAGTCCGACGGTCCGATCTTCACTCGTGGTTTGCGCTTGTACAATGAACATGCTATTCCTCCCCCCATCCTGCTCATCTGAGGTTATGTTGGAGGATGGGGGTGGGAACTCTCTCGGCATTCAGCTCGAAGAATTAGCAGGCCTGTCTGATTCCCCAGTGCTCGAGCTTGCAGTTGACGGTTCTTGTTCCAGGCCAGGATTGCGAGAGCTCGAGCGAGCGACCTGGTCCCTGGTTGCACAGGCGCCAGGTGGCCAGATTGTTGGGGTCATGAAAGGAGTAGTGCCAGGTCATCTGCCTCAGACTCCCAGCGTTGCCGAGAATGTAGCCTTGAGTATCACAGCACAGATTGCTGACATAGCATGCTCGGTTGCAGCTGGCTGCATGAGTGCTATCAGGCAGTTTGACAATGCTGTTGATAGGCACATGAAAGCCTCTAATGTTGTTGGTTTTGCTCACAAGTTTGCTCATTCCCTGCCAGGGCGCAAGCATGTGACGGCTTGCCATGTCAAAGCCCACAGGAATATGCAGGTACTTGACGAATTAGATGAAGCTGACAAGCGCCTGGCTCTGGCCAGCTGTCGTGCCGATCGAGAGGCGAAGAATGCTGCTCGCCTTCACCCTGCTCCTTGCCCCTCCTTCCTCAACGATCTTGAGTTGGCAGAGGAGCGAGCACTCAACTTTGCTGAGGTTGTGGCTGCAGTGCTGCCCCTCTTTGAAGATACAGGGGTCCAGCGCTGGCAGCGACCTCTTGCATGTGGGAAGAGAGCGAGGCGGGCGGTGAGGACTGGGTGGCACGACTGGGTGTGGGGTGAGCTGGGCTGGCAATGTGTGCAGTGCTTCTGCGTTGGTCCCCAGGTAGGAAACCTGCCGATGACAGGTTGCCAGGGGACTCCCAAGTTTTTCGAGCAGTTCACCCTCCAGGATTTTGGGCATAGGCTGGTTGCAGTTTCAGGCACCAGGCTTGCATCAGCGCGAGCCACCTCTGATCTCCAGCGGGCCCAACTCCTGTGTGTTAAATGCGGTGCTTGGGGCCAAGAGAAGGCCATCAAGCTCAAGAGAGAATGCAGGCCGCCCACGAGAACAGGGGGCGAGCTTCTTTCTAGATTCAGACGGGGTTTTGGGCCCAACCCCAGAGTCAGAGCGGCTCTGGACGCAGCAATCCCTGCCAGTAGTGTCAACGTGTGTGTTGCGTCCAGGCGCCAGGCCCAGGCTACGCAGGTGGTCGACGACCTAGGCGCCAGGTCGGAGTACGGCTATGCGCAGCGCATGAAGGCGCTGCACGACAGAGTACGGCACCGCGAGCTAGGCGCGCGGCTGCCTGCCGCTGCCGAGGCTCCCCCGATCCGTGATGAGGAGGGGGCGGGACGTCGTCGGCGTCGTCGCGAGGCGGGGAAGGAGGAGTTGCTCCGCCGATTTCGGCACCAGGTGCAGGCCGAGGAGGATGAGGCTCCTCTGGCCCCCCCGCCGGTCTCCGACTAACTTGTTTTGTTTTTCGGCCCGTGGCCACGCATCTCCGCCAGCAGCTGGCTGAGTGGGCCATGGGCGCGGACGTTCACTTCCAGCGTCACCACCTTCCGGACGCGGCGCCACAGCTGCAGTCCTTGCACCGTCTCCACGTGCTTAGATCTCTTCTTGTCCCCGTCCTGTTCCTGGTCGTATTCGCCCTTCTCATTCAGGACGTCGACCCCGTCCAAGTCCGTGGCGAGGCTCCTGTTGTCGCCCGGGTCGACTGGTGGGAGCTGCATGAAGTCCCCGGAGAACGTCATGCCCAAGCCGCCCCAAGCCTGGGTGGAGTTCTGGGCCGCCTTCAATCGAACCTCTGCCTGGAAGAGCTGGGCTGCTGCGACCATGGACACTTCGCCAATGAAGCACGCGAGGGCGCCTTCCCAGCGGCTCCGGTGGCTTTCCAAGACAGTACACGTGAGGCGACCTTTCTTACTGGACACGGTCACGTTGCCAAACGGTGGTTTGCACAGTGCGTGCAGTGTGTCCCCTTTCAGAAGCCTTGCCGCCGAGTTCGATGGCGCGCATTTCTGCACTGTGTCTGGGCCGCTGAAGTAGCAGATGACTGCTTCGACGACTCTCAGAACCGCCGTCTTCCCAGTGCCTCAGGGGCCCATGAGTGCGAGCTGAAACCCGTCTGCCAAAGACGGTCGCCCTGTGACAGTCGGCCCAGAGGGCTCGTCGAACCCCCACGCGCGGTTCATGACGTCCTGTAGCCAAGCAGCGTTCCAAAGCAGCGCGCGCGCGCCTGTTTGACGTTGATCTCGGGCATGTCGACCACGTTCAGTACGCCCGCCCGCAAGAGGTGGACGCATGCGTCGAGCACTGCAGTTCGCGCACGCGGAGGTACAGGCGGGAACGCCGAGCTGCGGCCGTCTGCCATGGCTTTCTGGAGCCGACACTGCAGGCCATCCGGCGTCTCCTGAGTGGACTTCTGCGGCCTCGTAGTCGTCTCGGCCTTCCAGGTGTCAATTATCTTGAAGAAGTCCGCTTGCCGGTCCGCAGCCGTCAGAGATGCGGCTGGGCGCAGTCGCACGGCATCCTCGAGTACTGGTGCACTAGAGGCCACGTCCGCCGCTCGCAGCCCGCAGCCGGGCGGAATTCTCCCGCATGAACTCAGCGATGTATTTCGCTTCTGCTGCGGTGCTTCTCTGCCATGCTGCCGGAGCAATCACGTCATCCATCTCCACGCCCTCGGGGAAGATGCCGCAGAGGAGGCTTGCCGGGTCGGGTGCTCGGTGTCTTGGGGTTGGCGCGGGGTGATCCTTGTCTTCGTCGTCCAAGGGAATGTCGGGCGGGTGGATATCGTCGTCGCTGTTGTCGTCGGACTCCAGGAGAGTGTCCGGGTCGTTCGCGGCAGCTTTGGCAGCCTCATCACGGGCGGCGTTCCACGGTGGGAGAAATGGCATCTGTACGTTCGACGGCACGGCTTCGCTGATGGTTTGTCTCCTGGAGGAAGCGAAGTCGTAGTTGCGAATGCTGTCCATTATTCCGTGCGCCCACCATTCTGGAGTCAGAGAGGGGGCGTCTCCGCAGTGCACTTTCGAGCCACCTCTCGGGTCGACACTTCCCAGGCGCGGAAGTCGTGCACGACGGCTGTCTGCAATGCGTTCTCTCCATGCGGCCACGGTGTAGACGTGATGCGCGACGCGAAATCTGACAGGGGCCTGAAGGGCCTGAACAGAACCATCACGTTCAACGCATAGAGGAACCACTCGTCCAGGAGGTCGTCACTGGCAGGCCGACCAGGCAATTTGCCGTAGAGGATGGGCACCTTCTACGGCTTTGTCAAACGCAATGAGATGTAGTACGCGTACTTGTAAAGTACTTCCCCGTTGGGCTCTGCGTCCGTCGGAGCTCCTCGGAGCGGCACTCTGTCGTAAGTAGCGCTGGTCACTGGCGCGGCCGTGTACTGCCGGCGGCCACCGCCCCTGAGCCACCGGAGAGATTCTGGCGGGGGCTTCTTGCCAACGGGCATCTTGGCGTCGCAGCTCGCGAAGAAGAAGTAGAGGGGAAAGTGTTCCAGCTCTTGCGGCCTGTGCACGTAGTCCAACTCGCCGATGTGGAGATTTGCTGGGGTCAACTTCGTAGTATACGGTCGCGGTTGGCTGTGGTCTGTCTGGAGAGGTTCACCGCGAGCTGCCTGGGACATCGTGGCACGAACGATCACGAGGAACTTCCCGAAAAAGACCGGGACAAACGCATGGCTGCTGTGCGCGATGGGCTCGCCTAAAAGGTAACTGATCATCTCGGGGAACCCTTTGTGCATCCGGTTGTTGGTCGCGGCCACCAGCGTGTGCAACAAATTGCGTGCCTTCTCCTGGTCATCGACCATGTCCTTCGCAGCTGCCAGCTGTGCCGCACGTTCTTTCCTCTCGAGCGACGCGGCCAACGTCATTTTCAGGCCGTCTGCGTGCGGCTGCGACTTCGCCGAGTACGCCGAGGCGTAATACTCGTGGTCCCCCATTGCTTCGGCCATCGCTGCTTTCACCTGGGCAACGCGGCTTTCACACGGGAGGTCGGCGTCGTTCGCGGGGAGCTCGCAGAACCGCAGCAGGACCGCCAAGTCGTGGTTGCACTGCGGGCCCAGCATGATGGCGGGGTTCAGCCGGAAGTGGAACGGATGCGTTGTTTCCAGCGCTGGAAGGCCCACGTGCGGCGGATAACGCAGAATCGGCAGCTCGCCAGTGCCATCCCATCGAGCGTGTAATTCCAAGCCATGCTGACGTTTGGCAATCTCTTTCCCTGTCTTTGCGTCGGTCTGTCTAGCCCAATGCCAATAGTGCATGCGGCAGAACCCCTTCTTGCCGAGTCGCCCTTTGTAACAAACTGCTGGCCGACAGACGCGATTGCCAGTTTTCCTGTCGATCGTCTGGTCAGAGGGTACGCGTTCATGGAGGCCGCAGCTAGTTCAGACAAGGTCCACGAAAACACACTCGTGTTTTGGTTGGAAGGGGGTATTCTGGCGTCGCCGCACCCCCAGAGTTGCCAAGAAACGTTTCGGGGGATGGGCAGTGGTCGAAACACGAAAAGCGTCGAGGGGGGAATCCAAGAAACGGAACCCTACGAGCAGGCGACAGGTCCTGGTCCGCGAGAAGATTTCCTGCACGGCCTTGACAGACCACTCCCCGCTGTCGACGCTGGGGTCGGAGGAGAAGGACGTCGGGAAGAACGCGAACTCGGCGACGTTGCCGGCGCACGCAGCGGGTCCTTTCGGATCGACGGAAAGGGAGGCCAGCTTATGTCCAGTGAAAAGGGTGTAGTGCAATACGCGCATACATGTATGTATACATATATTTGTGTAATGGTATGTACGAGTACATATATGTAAATGTATATGCATATGGCTGTTGGTGGTAAATGCGCTGTAACCAGAAAGCATTGCGTTGCATTGCAAGCAAGGGATGTCACGCACAGATCCAGGTAGACATTTGCGCCCCGAAATGCATTGCGCGGTGCAAATCGCTTGCGCCCTAGGGAACTGTTGCACTAAACGTATTGCACCACCCCGTGTAATCTTTTAGCTGGGCACCCCTTTCCATCGACTTCTGCCTTCGCGGCCCCGCCCATGCCACTGGGCGGCGTTGCTGGCGGCCGTGCGAACGCCCCCGATCTTCTCGCGCTGAAATTTCGTCAACGGCAGCAACGGCAACTGGTGAAGGGCGGCATGTCCGAGCGGGTCCTTCGCGTAGTGAGCGAATGCCTCCGTGCTGCGGAACGTTATAGAAGCGATGTAGTGCAAGGCACGTCGGAACGCGTTCTGCAGGTGGTCGCCTTGGAAGAGGTCGTCAGGGTGAGAGAATCCAACGAGCTGAATGAGCATGTGGATGTGCAGCGCTTTGCGCATCTGTTCTTCCACAACGCCGAGGTGCGCCCGAACGTGCCCGACGATGCCGGGCAAATTCTTTGCGGCGATCCCGTCGCAGTTAAGCTCGTCGGGCGCACCAGTGCAGTTGAACAATGCGCGCATGACGAGCCGCACGGTCCAGTGGAAGACGCGCGTGGCAATGAGTGGGTCCTTCGCCACAGCTCGGTGAAGGCGTCGCGGGTCCTCCCGGTTGAAGTCGGTCATCCACTGGGTTGCCTCGTCGTCGGTCATGTCCAGGGAGAACTTGCGGGGCACGGTCTCGTCGCCCTGGGCCAACAGCACAGCGAGGGGGCTCCGAATGTCGCGCGGGTTCAGGGCGAAGAAGAGCGATGCGCATCCAGACCATATGCGCAGAGCCCGGAATCGCCAGATGAATCCTTCTCGCTCCTCGGCGGGTCCGCGGACACGTCGGAGTGCGAGGTGCATCCGGTGAGCGGTGTTGCGGACGATGGGATCGAGCCCCTGCTGTCGAAGCAGATCTCGGAGATTGGCCGCGCCCCCAGCGGCCGCAGCGGAAGAGACGAGGCCTTCAGCAGTGAGCTGCGTGACCGCAGTGGTTTGGCCCGGTGTCATGCCAGTGATGCCGTCGTTGGCCGTGGACTTCACGTGGGCCCCGACGCTGGCCATCTGGTCGCGCCGCAGGAAAAAGGTTGAACAGCGCGGCCGCGAACTCGACGTCGCGGCGCCAGCAAACAGCGTCGGCTCGCGTGAGCAACGTCTTCGCCAACGTTGCTGCGGGCAGACGAGCGGGGCGCTGGGGGCACGTTTCCTGACAGTCCCCTCGCGGGAAGAGTCGGAGAGAGCATGCCGCCCAGAAATTCTCGGCCCGCGAGGACAGGAACTGGTCTCCGTGGGCGATCTGCACCGCAGGCGCGTCGACCTTCTCTTGCGCCGCCCACTTGTCCAACTCCCTCCGGACAGAGTCGTGGGACATCCGTTGCATTGCCTCGACTGCTTTGGCGAGGGCTTCATTGTGCCGCATCTTCATCTGCGCGCGAGCGGATGAGTCGTGGCCCTCCGACAACTTATGGGTCTCATCCTGGAGGCGCGATGCAACGTCGAAGTTCTCCACGACCCGCGTCCACAAGCGGAGTGCTGGCACGTCGTCCATGCCCCCGTTCACAGCGGCGGCTTTGCCATCGTCAGCCGTTTCAGTCGGGTCTGTCTCGCGGGCGCCACTGTCGGTGCAGTCAGCTGGGCCTTCCGACGCCGCCGAAGCTTTTGCTGCAGAAGCCGCAGTTGCCGCGGAGAGTACTTCCCGCGGAACGCCGGAGGAGCTTCCAATGCTGCTGGCTTAGGCACTGAGTAGGGCCTCCAGGGCGGCGTGCAAGGTGCCCGAGCGCCAGATCTCGTGGTGCCTGGTGGCGAACATGAACATCCAATTGTTGAGGGACAGCCGCCGGAACGCCGCGCGTAAGCGGAGAACGGAGACCTGGAGGTCCGGGTGTCGTTGTAGATCGTCAAACGTCCCACCTACGAACTGGATCACCATGGTCTGTGCAAGGGCCGCAGGCAGCATGCCTATGGCAGTCAGTGCAGTGTCGGGGCTCTGCGGGTAAGCCACCACGTTCTTCTGGTGGTACGTGGGCGTCTCCGAAGTGGCCGTAGGAGCGTAGGACGCCTTGCTGAGGAACACGCGTTTGATGCTGACATGCACTTTGGCGAGGTTGATGACCTTGCACTCAGCGTACGTGAGGTCCACGAATTCATGGAGGTCGGCGCCTCGCCACATCCCGTTCGCCACAGCAGCTAGAGGCACTCGAACTCGCGGGCGGCGATCGTCACGGGGGCCGATCAGTTCCCGCAGCGCGCACGCGCAATGCTTGCACATGTTCGCCGTGATGCCGGAGGCGGCGCCCTTGCCGTCGGCGCTGGACGTCGAAATGCCCGGGCGGTACAGCAGCCAACGCCTTTCGGGGTGGCCGGGCGCAGCAGTGGAGTCCGCCACGAGGTCGGCGCGCACAGCCGCCGCCCAGCGCTGAACCCTCTCATGCCAGCTTCGAGCAGCCTCGGCTGTAGTGAAACCCAAGGAACTTTAAGCAGAGCGGCGACGTTGAGCTCTGCTTCTCGCAGCCGCTCACTCTCGCAGAAGATCAGTTCCATGTACCGGTCGACGTTGAAGACGTTGTCCAGCTGCGCGTGCCAAGCGTCCTTGTGCGCAGTCCAGACGTCGGTGTGCCACTGCAGCCAGTCGGGGCACGCGTCGTCTGAGGGGTCCGGCAGGTACGTCGTTTGGAGTTTGCATCGGCGCTTGTCCCGGGCGCAGACTGCGCAAGGTGCCATGGTAAAGTTGGCATCGGTGAGCTCCGCTTTGAACGCAGCCAGGCGTGCCCTCACAATTTGAGGACTGATGGGGGTCGGCCACGCCGTGAGGGATCGTTGGAGTATCACGTTCTGGTAGTAGTCCAGTACGTCACACGCGGGGTCGAGCACGTCGCGGTGCATCTCGGCGAGGTGGGCGGGCAGGTCCTCGGCCCGCACGTGGGCGAGACACAAGCGGCAGTGTTCGGGGTGTACGTAATCGGGCGTGGCCGAGTACGCTGGCAACGCATCCTGCGAGTGGTTCTTCTGCAGAAGCAGTCGAAGAGCTGGTTCTGTGCCGGTCCACGATTGGGCGGGCGGCAACGAGTCCACGTACGATTCACTTTCGACTTGCACCAGCTTTGCAAGCATGGCGGGCGACTGTCCCGCGAAGCACGTCTGGCAACAGTGCATGTTAGTCCGGGCGTGCCTCGCGGGCGTCTTGCCGCAGATAATGCAAAGGGTCCCTGAAGCGGTCCAACACGCGTCGCACAAGGCCTGCGAATCGAGGAAGTGCTTGGAACAGAGGGTGCACAAACGGACAGAACGAGGGCAATTTGTGGTGGCGCACGGTCCGTGAGAAACAACCAATTTCTCACCGGTGATGGGATCTGCTTCCCGGTAACAGTAGCCGCACACAGGTTCAACAAAATGGCGGCGGCACAGGCCGGACTGTCTCTCGTCGTCGCTGGAATGCGCGCGGCACCACAGAGCGAGAGTAGTGCACAGGGAACAGCTCGGCAGCGGCGTGCTTGGTGGAGGTAGTTGCCGACAAATATCACACGCCCGAATGGCTGCACATGCCTTGCACGACTGTGCGGCGTAGATGTCGCTGTGCGCCGGCGTGGTAGTGCAATATCTGCACAGGCGGCCATCAGCAATCCAGCAATTCCCGCAGGTCTCATTGGGGCTGGACGCCGCGCAAGGTGAGCACAATGGGAAAGTGGAGCCGCATGTGGACGTAGCGCATGGCGCTCTGGTCATCGACGCACTCGGCAGCGTTGCGCGGCACATGGTGCAAGAGGTCTGAGTCGAGGCGCACGCATGGCACCAACCTGAAGCGCGCTCGTCGGCAGTCGTGTGCGTGGGGCAGCCCATGGCACATGAAAGTGCGACGGCGTGGGTTTTTTTCGTGCGCGTCACACATGCGGAGCATCTCAGAAGGTGGTCCTCCGAATTGTACCACGTGCACCCGTCCACATGGCAAGCCCTTTGTCGCTCACATGGCTTGCACATGATCTTGCGCACGAGCTCCCGTGACTCTCCGCAAAAATTGCATGTAGACTTTCGAGCCTGCTGCTTCTGGGCGCATTTTTGGGGGAACAACTTGCGGTAGCACACTTTGCAGTACCCGTCGTACCCCGTCTGTGCGAATGGTGTGTTTTTTTTGGCGCCGTGGGCTCCTCGGCAGAGCATGCGGCCCTGGGACATGGCGGCCGAAGCGCAGAGTGTCAGAGTACAGCCCTGGCGACGCGCGGCGCCTTCACGAGAGGCGCCTCCGCAATAGAGGGGCGACACGTGACCAATGGTTTGAGCCGAAATTGTACGTGATGGGGCATGTTGCGAAAGTCGCGCGTTCGTTTGGGGGGGGGGGTCGGCATGTTCCTTCCGCTTGACGCCGCCACTGCGTTGGCCTTGGAAGGGGTACGAAACTGGGAAATGCGAGAGGTATCAAGATGAATCCAAGAGACTCAAGATGCTTCCGACACGGCCGAAAAGAGGGCGAACAACACAGGGCCTTAGTCCAAGATTACAAAGTCAACCCTTCCGCTCTCCCGCACTCCCTCGCACTCCCGTGCTCTTGCGCAGCCCTGGAGTTGTGAGGATGCCGTAAGCGAAACTTGCCAGATCACCTCTCCCGCGGCATCTCTGGGCCCAGAGATGCGAGAATGTCTCAGAAGGAACAGGTGGACGATATCAGTGCAGGGCAGCTCTGGTCCCAGAGGTGCGAGGTGGTTGCAAGCGACACTCACGATCGATCTGTCCATGAGCCTCATTGTGGATCTCACTGTCGATCTCCCTATCGAGGTCACCCCCTCCCCCCCTTCTCGTCCTCCTCCTTCCCTCGATGGGGTCGAAGGTCGGTCCTCGAGTTTCGAGGATGAGGGGTGGGGGCTCGGCCGCGACTGGCCGCGGGCCGGCGGCTCGCAGGAAGGGGCAGTCCGAGGGGGCGGCCTTGTAAGAAGGCAGGGGGGCTTTCAGAAGGGGTTTCTTCGAGGTCGGCACGCGCCTCTCAGGAGGCGGAGGAGGACGAGGAGGAGGAGGACGAGGACGGGGAGGAGGAGGGAGAGGATAAGGAGGAGGAGGGGAGGAGGAGGAGGAGGGGGAGGAGAATGAGGGGGAGGGCGGAAGAGGATGAAGAGGAGGGAGGAGGAGGAGGAGGAAGAGGAGGACGAAGGGCGGTGTCCCTTCACGGGGGGGTGAAGAAACGTGTCTCTGCGGCCCTCCAGGGGCCCACGCCTTTGTGACAGAACGCTCTTGGAAGTGCAGATCTGCGCACGATTCACACAATCGGCTCGCAGAGGCCTCCACGCGAAGGAACGCGTGTTGAACGCGCTCACGCCGCGGAATATGAATCAATACGTATGACCGGGCGTCATCAAGTCGAATCGATCATCATGGACGTTGTGCAAATTCGGATCACCAAAGAGGGCTGACTGCCACGCGCGCACACGGAAGCGCGGGAACCGTTGCCAGGACCCCCGCGAGCGGGGAAGGGTCGTTAGCCAGGCAGCACAGCCACAAGCCATCTCAAAACGGGGGCTGCTGGACAACGCCAACCATGTACGGCAGGCTCCCGTCGCGACGACGTCGGCGCTGGCTTCTGACACCGCGTGGATCGGTCGACCTTCAACGATCGGGACTTCCCGATGAGCCGGATCGTTCAACATATGACGATCCCGGACCATGGGCGGCGTTCCACCTTGAACGCCCGCGGCGCGGAGGAGGAGGGAGGGAGGGAGGGAGGAGGAGGAGGAGGAGGAGGACGAGGAGGAGGAGGAAGGGGAGGGGGAGGAGGAGGAGGTCCTCCCCAGGGGCAGCCTTCCGCCCCGGATCCGTCTCCGACGGAGGAGGAGGAGCAGCAGGAGAACGCCAAAGAGGTAAGGCCGGGCATCGAATCGAAATGAAGCCCAAGGGCCAAAGGAATGTGGCATCGCATGCCGCAAACCTTGATGGGATGACTGCGACGGTTGGCGATGTTTTTTTTCACGTTGCGCATTGGGAACACAACAGCCCTAGGAGGCAGGCCGGTTCAAGGTCCCACCTCTTTTTGTTATGTTTTTTGGTTAGGGGCTGCTCTTTAAAATGCGGGTGATGCTCCGCGCCGCCATCACAAAACAAAGCTACGCGCAGGCACCCATCAGAAAGAGGCACGGTGTGAACAAGTGGAGGCGAATATGGGAGAGCGCGCTCAACGGGAACAAGGCACCCGAACAAAACCCTTCACGCATTGGATCGTTTCGAAAAGCAGCTCTCGCCGTAACGCCGCGCATGTTTGTTTTGAAAGGGTCCAGCAGTGGCACGGATGGACGGCGGTGCTGTTTGAAAGCGCAGCTCTCGCGTTAGCGGCGGGCACAGTCGGTTGAACAAATGCAACAATCGCACGGGTTCGTACGGTTGAACCCTCCAGGCATGGTGCCTTGGAACGAGTTCCCATTGACAGGATGGAAATGTCCCAAGGATGCGAAGGGTGTACGTTTCCAGGCATGGGATTATGGTGGGAAGTAAGGTATCAGGACGGAACCGTCCCAATGAGTCGTGGGGTTCAAATCCTCAGAACTCCAATTCTGATTGTGTGCGGAACGGGGTTCGCCCGTGCGACGTCGTGAAGTGATACTACTAGGGCTACCGAGAGGAGCATTCTTCGGCCGATAAGGGTTATTTTTTGGGGAAAGGTCAGGGGGGCGGTCGATTTGCGATGGCTCTTGGTTCTGTGGTGGTGTCTTCGTGCCTAGCATTGTCGCGCACATCTGCCCGTCTGTCTATCTTTGTATATATCGATGTCCCTTTGTATCTATTGTTCGAAATCCCTATCGTACTACGTATATGTATCAATATATCTAGACGTGCTTCGATATACATATATATCTGTATGTCAACATGCTTGTATGTATGTGTATATTTACACACACACACACCTGTCTATAAACCGGTCGTTCAAAAAGTAACCATATATATATATATATATATATATATCGAAATATATGTTCACATATACATGTCGGACTAATATGTTTGTATGGGTATATGTCAATCGGGACATCCATCAGGACAACCATGACGGCACCCATGAGGGCAACCATCGGGGCAAGCATCGGGACAACCAGGAGTACAAAATCGGGACAACCATCGGGGCAAACATCAGGACAACAATCGATACAAACGTCGGAACAGCCATCGGGGGAACCATCCGGGCAACCACCCGGACAACCATCGGGGCAACAAACAGGACGACCGTCGTGACAACCATCGGGAGAAGCATCGGGACAACACCTATCAATCGGGACAACTATCGGGAGAACCATCACGTCGGGACAACCATCGGGCCAACCATCGGGACAACCATCCGGGCAACCATCGGGACAACCATCGGAACAATCTGCGGGACCCATCTGGACAATCATCGGATCAACCATTGGGACATTCATCGGGAGAACCATTGGGACAACCATCCGAAACAACCACCGTCGGGACATTCATCGGGAGAACAATCATCGGGAGAACCTTCGGGACAACCAGTGGGACAAACATCGGGCAAACCTTCGGGACAATCATCGGGAGATTCATAAGGACACCCATCGGGACAACCATTGGGACAACCGCTGGGGCAACCACCGGGACAACCATCGGGACAACCATCGGGACAATCATTGGGACAGCCATCGGAACACCCCCTATTTACAGGGACAACCATCAGGAGAACCGTCACATCGGGACAATCGTTGTGTCCAACCATCGGGGGAACCATCGGGCAAACCATCGGGACAAACATCGGGGCAACCACCGGGAGAACCATCGGGACAACCATCGGGGCAACCACTATCCATCAGGACAACCATCGGGGCAGCCATCAAATCGGAACAGTCATTGGGCCAACCATCGGGAGAAGCATCGGGCATACCGTTGGGACAAACAACCAGGCAACCATCGGGACAAGCGTCGGAACAATCATCGGGACAACCGTCGGGGCCACCTTCGGGACAACGATCGGGACAACGATCGGGACAACCATCGGGGCAACCATCGGATCAACCATCGGGAGAACCTTCGGGACAACCATCAATAGAAGCACCAGGACAACCATCGGAACAACGATCGCCATCGGCAGAACCACTGGGACAACATTCGGGACAACCTCAGAACGACCATCG